GCCACTGCGGCGCCCCGAGGGTCAGCTGTTCTGGCTCGCCCAGCCGCCGTGTCGATGCGATTCGGGCTCGTGCGCCGGCTGTCGCGGGGGAAAGGTTATGTTTCCACCTTGCTGGGGGCGAACGCCAGATGGAGGGCTTCGCAGCAGCTGGGTGTGAAGCGGGCAGGGGTTGTTTGTTTTTGTGGCGGCGACCGTGTCGGCGTTGCGAAGCCGGTCCCCGCTCCTGCCGTGGCGACATCCGGTGACTTCTGGACCGGACTGGACTCAATGCGGTGGGAGTGAAAAAGGGTGACGAGCGTGTCAGCACAGACACGTGAGTGACGGGCTATCAAAGCGACGTGACTCCTTTCAAAGGGCGTGTCTAAAGGAGGGGCATTGTCGCGTGCGGAGAAAGAGAGTGCAGCAGCACACCAGCTGAGTGTGAGACGTGAACGACTGAATGCATTGTTTGTTCACATCGTGCGTCGGGAGCAGTTCGTTCTCTAAGCCTTGTCACCCTACCTTGCCAACATCTGGTTGTCTGTTTGGCGCCGGCGGGCGTGTTACCGCACCAGCTGCAGCAGTGGCGTGTGTCTGCGGCCTGCAGGGCATGAGCCTTGGTTCTGGCCGCTGCCCCGGTGCTCCTGATGTTTTAATTTAGGTTTGAGAATGAGGTCATAAAACGTGCGGGGCCTTTGGCTTTCCGGAACGTTACCATTTCACGCTATCTTGGGCTGTCCATGACGGCTTATTGGAAAGGAGTTATTTTATCAAAGACCCCTTGTACATAAACCTCGGTTTTTGCGTTATGCTTGCTGCAGCGAACGTTTTGGAGCGATTGCATTAGAATGCCCGAGCATGTCCTGCAGCGATTACCACTGGTCACTCTCAACCTCTCTCTGGGATATGGCTGGGTGTGTCTATAGCACATTTTAACAGCGGGCACACAAATAAGCTGTCAGAACTGTTCATAACTGCTGGGAGGTCCCGAAATATATGCACCAAGAGCGGCGGCCCGATGCCTTCTTCGGACTGGGCGTGTCTACTTCAGCGGTGGTTAATATGGTTACATTACGCTGCTCTTGCTAAATGGCAGCGAGAAGGCTATTCTATGGTAACACTGCTGCTCCAGCTAAATGGCATGTGAGTGGGCTGAAATAGGCACGCCCTGTGTATGATATGGCACGGACGTGGCTGGTGCGGTAGGACGCAGCTGTTTCGCTGCCGAATCATGTGCGTACCTGCCTTTGAGCATGGACGGGAACGAAGAGTGTAGGATATCCCTTTATGAATTTTTCATGGCTTTGCTGTCGGTGACGCATACCACCGTTCTCAATAAAATTAAGGGGAATATGAGGCCGACTTTCATGAAGTCAGCATTTAAGTGCACACTGGCGTGACCGGATTATACGTATTTTATTCGGACTGCGAAGTCAATATTTGTCACCTTCAGTTTGAAATGATTATTTTTGGCGGAGCTCTCCTATTGGACTCCGAATGCAGTCTTTTTTATTGAACAAATTCTCTATTTCCAACCACCTACAGTTAAATTTCAGCAAACTTTGCAACCAAGATGAATTAATGATGTATTGTATGATGACACAGTAAGATTTTAGGAAGCAGAATGTCGATAACGTTTTTTGCAATCCAATGACGCCATTGCAATCCAGTGAAATCCTGCACACTAAGCTTTTGACGCCACCAAACAGATCATCTACCATGTACTGCAGCGGACTTGCTCTAGGGCCTTCCCAAAATCAGTTCTGTGACTGGATTTGGGCTCAAGTACACTGGTGGTGGCTTGTCATGTTTGGAAGTGGTTTTGGGCTCTTATTCAAGGTTTTGAAAGACATTCCAAAATGACTGCCTCAGTGTGTGCCCCTGCGTAGCACCTACGCACACACGCATACTCTTATGCACCTTCTGCCATGTGCAGTGAAAAGTATCCTCGGGAAGCCTTTGTGGAGGTTGGATGTTAAGGTGTCTAAGGTGGCACTCCCCCTTTTGACAAATGCATTATTGAATGTTTTTTTAGTCATTTTGCATCCGCTAAAGACAGCCGGTGTCATCTTCTTCGCTGCGCGACCCATGACAGTTGTCTGGGGATTCCTGGCTCTTGCCAACGGCTGCTGCAGCAATAATTTTTGTAGAAGTCAAGAATTCCGGCTGCATGCTATGTTAACGAAGCCTCCATAAGACTACGGTCCAGTAGCACATTTTTGGCAGCTAACATTTCGCATCTGGGCAAAAGCTTTCATTTTTTGTGCATGCATGTCTGCTAACAACTGTTCGATTTCTTCTCTGCTTGCTCATACAAGCACCATCCATTTTATAGTGGTCACGTGGCAGCATCTGCGAGGCGTTGCAAATCGCCCGTTTTCCTCATCTGATAGTGTCACGGATAAGTCAGTCTGTCAAGCGTTTCACGCTTTCTTACACCGCTTTGGGACAATTACCTCTGTGAAAATCGCGAGCCCGCGTGTATCTACAAAGTATAATGGATTTCGGTCGCCTGGAAACTGCGCCGAAGCGAAGGCGTTTCCGGCCCTACTCTGCAGCTGCCCCTCAGAGTTGCCCGTCACTGTCGCAGAACCACCACACAGGCCAGACCAACGCATTAGCCCGAGTCCGAGTCTCTGCCAGTCCGAGAGAGCAACCCAAGATGCTTGCCAGCAATCCCAGCCAGTGGCTGAGGTCACCCAGCCGAAGCGACGTGATGACCCGATGATCGGTCAGTGTCGGAGTCGATCCGGGGTCCCGACCCGAGGCCACAGAGCCAGACCGGGCGGCTCGGCGGCTCCACAGCCATCAGTCTCCCATGAGTGGGCCGCCACGCCGCCTTGTTACGCGTGTTCCCGCGACAGGGAAACCGACGCACGCGCCACCGAGCCGGGTCCTGGGAGTCGAGCCGCGCCGCCGAGCCGGGTCCTGGGAGTCGAGCCGCGCCGCCGAGCCGGGGCCTGGGAGTCGAGCCGCGCCGCCGAGCCGGGTCCTGGGAGTCGAGCCGCGCCACCGAGCCAGGTCCTGGGAGTCGAGCCGCGCCACCGAGCCGGGTCCTGGGAGTCGAGCCGCGCCACCGAGCCGGGTCCTGGGAGTCGAGCTGCGCCGCCGAGCCGGGTCCTGGGAGTCGAGCCGCGTCGCCGAGCCGGGTCCTGGGAGTCGAGCCGCGCCGCCGAGCCGGGTCCTGGGAGTCGAGCCGCGCCGCCGAGCCGGGTCCTGGGAGTCGAGCCGCGCCGCCGAGCCGGGTCCTGGGAGTCGAGCCGCGCCGCCGAGCCGGGTCCTGGGAGTCGAGCCGCGCCACCGAGCCGGTTCCTGGGAGTCGAGCCGTGCTCGGCGGAGAAGAAAGCGCCGCCTTCACACCCAAGATGGCTGGCTGGCGCCGCGCGCCCGCCGCCCGCAATGCCGACAGGAAGCCGCCGGTCGACGCGGTCAAGAGGGATTTCTTTTTGTTGAAAGCGCCGCCGGTGCCAAGAGGCGACCACGCGGAGAAACGGGCCGGCATCTGCGGTGGTCGGGGTCGGCGGCGACGGCCGCCCACCACGACGGCGGCCGCACAGCCGCCTCCGAGAGATTCGACAGCCCGCGGTCAGGGACATGGCTCACAGCTGTGTAGCAGCTGCCAGATGCGATACAGTGCGTCGCAGCTGCGTTGCTATTAGCGCGCATTACTGAATAAGGCATGCTCAGAATCGTGTGACTTTAGTGCCGCATAAAAAGGTAGAAGATTCCGTCTTTTCCTCACTTGCTGTTGGCTTTATTTTCTTGATGCTAGAAATGGCCGGTGCGTGGTGCTCCTGAATCATCTGTAGATGCCAGAAGGCAGAGAACCCGCAACCGAGAACATTGACTCTTGAGTGGTGGGACGCCACGTTCTTTATGCACTATGCCAATGCTGCTTCTTCAGATGGTCGTCCCGTGACGCCATGGCAGGCACAGAGCGTGACGTACCCCACAATCGGCACCAACCAACGTCCTAGTGCACACCGTTGACACACGGATACAACCATGCGCCTCCAGCCAACTTCTGGGCATCGGACAGCTCGTCGGACAGAGCCCACCGCCTCTGAGATGGCGCTCCGGAGCTGCGGGCCCGCCCGGGGACCCGGACCGCTCGTGGCTCCTCAAAGACCGCCGAGGACTAGCCGCGCGACAGATGCGTCGGCTAACGGCTGGGCTCCCGGCAGCCATGTGTTCGATTAATGGATATGCAGCACAGGCGCTGTGGCGGCTAATGCGCCGGCCTCCTCGCGCCGGGGCAGCTGTTCCAGCGCCAAGCCGATGCCTCCAGAAGGCGGGCGCCGTAGCCATGTCGAGCAGTCAAACGGCAGTCGAACGACAACTTTTGCGTCTGCCGCCGCCTGCCTATACTTCAGAACTTTCCCGAGTGTAACATCAACTGGGTCAGCTAAGTGCGGCTGGGTGAGAGCGCCCACCGGGTCAGCTATCTGTCTGCCGCACCATTGGCGACAAGAGATATACTGTCTATTTGACGGGTGTGTGTGCTCGGCAGGGTGTGTCCGCATCCGGCGGTCAGAGGTATGCTGTCTATTTGACGGGTGTGTGTGCTCGGCAGGTGTGTGTCCGCATCCGGCGGTCAGACGTATGCCGTCTGTTTGACGGGCACGTGTGCTCCGCAGGTGCGTGTCCGCATCCGGCGGTCAGACGTATGCCGTCTGTTTGACGGGCACGTGTGCTCCGCAGGTGCGTGTCCGCATCCGGCGGTCAGAGGTATGCTGTCTATTTGACGGGCGCGTGTGCCCCGCAGGTGCGTGTCCGCATCCGGCGGTCAGAAGTATGCCGTTTGTTTGACGGGCGCGTGTGCTCCGCAGGTGCGTGTCCGCATCCGGCGGTCAGAGGTATGCTGTCTATTTGACGGGTGTGTGTGCTCGGCAGGTGTGTGTCCGCATCCGGCGGTCAGACGTATGCCGTCTGTTTGACGGGCGCGTGTGCTCCGCAGGTGCGTGTCCGCATCCGGCGGTCAGAGGCGTGCCGTCTGTTTGACGGGCGCGTGTGCTCCGCAGGTGCGTGTCCGCATCCGGCGGCCAACCTGAACAGTCGGGTCGAGCTGAGCTCCGAGGACCTGGCTGAGAACACCATCGCCACGTACCAGTGTGACGCCGGCTTCCTGCAGCTCGGGTAAGTGCGTCACGGCTGGCACGACCTCCGCCTGCCCCCTCCCCCCGCGCTCCGTCTTCACACCTCACCGCTCGGCATCCAGTTCAGTGTTGTGGAGACCGGTCACCCTGTTGACATCGGGTGCACCCGTGTCGCGGGCTAGCATTCAGTGTGGCTTTATGGTGGTAGTTTAGCAGTTTGCGCTCGGTCTCTGCTCCTCAGGTTGGCATTGCAGACTTCGTGAAATATATTTTGTGGTGCCTACAAGAGGAAAAAGAGGACAGCTTTGATTTATGTTAGACTAGAACTATGATGGTTGGTATGACTATGAAAGGCTATGCTTTTTGGAACACCTGTCATCACCGAAACTAGCACCGCGTGTGCAGTTTGTCAAAAGTCGTCGTACTGGGATAACTAGGCTCATCAGTACCTTTGTTATGCCCATGGAGACACTTGTACATATGGACACCATGCATACAATACAAGAAGTGCCCCTTTCGGTTGTTTTGGGATAGTCAAGTACTGCAACCTCGGTTGGGAGATAAAGCTCGCGTTTGAAGGTAGCGGTGCAGTGCAGTGTATCCCTCCGTTTATCACATTGATACAATTCTAAAACGAGGTAAGTACTAAGCGATCTTGCCTATTTCCTTCCCTTGAGCGTTCATACCTGCCCATAATCCATGAGACCGCCAGCGTTCACAGCTTCCAGACCCCGTGATGTTGAGTGCCCGATGTGACCTTGCATTTCGCCTGCTCTGGAGCGAGATCGCTATCAGTGGGTCCGAGCAGCAGCTAGCGTGATTTGCAGTGCAATACACAGTAAAAAACGACTGCCGTCCACCTCACGAACTTGGAAAGTGGTCACTTTTATCTGCTACTTGCAGACATTCGTTTCTGCTTGAACCCCCGCCGGAAATCCATCAATAACACTGCAATGACATTTGAAAGGGCCTTAATAGTTGCGTGTATTATGAATGGAATGCACTTGATACTGAAATCGTTATTGATTGGCATTGTGGTGGGCGAAAGGTGAGTGTGTGCAACCGTGTTTTATTCATCACCGATGCACCGAGGGGTTTGACCGCACGCAGTCTGACCGGTGTCGGATCTGACAGGAAGTTATGATATCGTTCTTCAAATACATAGTCTTCCTAACCAGGCTGTCTAAACTTAATGCAAATTGCAACGCTTATATATGCTTCGTCTAGTATGGAATCCATTTCTTACAGTTAGACAAACGACGTAAAAATTATTGGATTACCTGCCATAGATTGGCTTTAGACTAAAATAAATTTTGGACGCGGATTAAAGGTTTCAGGTGTAAAATCGGCACCAGACTTCAACGTCCACGACTGCTACGCATGACACGTGCTTCTACCGATCTGTGGGTCACCAAAATTAGTTCAGAAAACGCAGATCAAAACAAGGGCCTAAAAGTAAAAGCCACGGCGCATGTCCATGCAAAACGTAAGCTCAATGCACTGCAATGTAGCAAAAACATGGGCTCTGGCACAGAGGGAGGACATGTCTTTCCTCTACTTTTCCAGAACGTGACATTACGTATATGTCGTGGCATGGAAAGGAGCTTTTTCAAAAGCTTTGATGCCCCCTCCACGTCGCCAATATCTCATTCAAGGGCGAATCTGTGGGAGAAAAGGCGCTGTACCATTAACACGACGTCGTCAGTAGTCCTGTCGTTACGCGTCGAGCGCACGCCATGGGAACTGTGACCAGCCCGGTACAAAGTCGCTGCGCCCCACCCCTCATACAGCCTCTCCCGCCCCACTGAATGGCGCGTGCGGCATTATCAGCGCGCCGAGACGTTCCCGGCGCGCCGGCGACCGTGTCGACACGTCACGGCGCCGCGACAGGACCCGTGACGCGTGCCGCCCGGCCGGGAGCGGCCGTGATTCGGAACGGTGCTTAGCCGTGAACCGTGAGTCAGGTGGCGGCCCCCGGCGGCCTCGCGCGGAGGGCCCGCCCACACGGGCGGCCACACCCGTGAATGAACGTCGGCAAGAGCGCCGCCAGGGAGGGCCTGGGGGAAGCCGACTCTGTAGGAATATGCTTGGGTCCCTGGCGTCGAAGACCAATGTATTGTATCAATCATTTTGCACCAAAACAAAGGATTTGGTCTCTTCCCCTCTCCAGTATTAGGAGCCCTGCCCTGGTAGCTGGTTGGCTCCGCAAAGCGCCAATTACTGCGCGCCCCTGCGCCCCTTCACGGTAGCGCTGTGAGGCGACTTTGAGTGGCTATCGTCAAGCTGAACCAGCACAGGCTGGATGTCGTTGGGTTATCAGCGGGTCGGTAGCAGATTTATTTTAGGAATGGGATGTTTTGTGCCTTCGGCAAGCTCAGTGATGGAACCCTGGACTTCAGATCAGAAAAGAGGACGTTCAAAAACTGTGATTTGTGGGCTTTCCAATGAAACCGTGTTCCTGGTGGATGACTGCGGGGGTTCATGACAGTTCGAGTAAACGCGTATTCATCGCACTCTAAGGCTGTACTCACCGCTCGCATGGCATCCTTCGCCACGATCTTTACAACTGGCGGCGGTCCCGACCGCAGTCGGCAGAAGCCCACCGCCGGCGCGTCCCTCGCGGCAGATCCGCTCATGTCAGGGGAGCTTTGCGGGAGACACGAGCGGCCCGCTAATCCGTACAGCACGCCGCTCTGTGACAAAACCCGCTGGTCGGGCTCAGCACGACGGTGGGGAGCGTCATTTGCACCGAGCCAGGCCTTGACCGAGCCGCTGCAGCCCGTCGCCGTGTGCCGGCGCGTCGGTCCGTCGTCCCGTCATGCTACGCGGCCGAAGACGCTGAAAAATGCGCGATGGTCCACCGTCTGTCCGGAGTTTTACGGTGCTGCTGCATTGTCGTGGTATACTCGCATGTGGCCGGTGATGTTTTCGTCGGTGGACTGCTTTGTGCGTTGAGAACGGGTCGTTTATTTCGCATGTGACTACGCAGGTGAAATCCACGGACGGGCCCTTAGTGCGTGTGACTTTTTCCTACGGCCGCAAATTACTGGAGCAAACGTCACGCCTTTCTCCTACCACGCAGCAAACGGTGCACCCTGCGGACCATGTTGGGAGTGGTGCGTGATTCATCAGATATTCAGAGCTGATGAATAATTATCCAATGGAAAGTGGCCTTGGCTGTGTGGAGCAGACCAGCCCGCAAGCAGCGAGCGCGCGTGAACAGCTCTTTTCCTCCAGCTCCTTCAACCCGAGAATGCTGATACCGGCTGATGGGAGAACGGGAGAGCACCGATATGGCCCCAGCAAGTTGCCACGGATCCTAAGGGCGGCACGATGAAACGCAGCAGCAGCACATGCCATTTTGTCCGGAGCCTGGCCGCGTCTGTCAGGACCTTGTTAACCGCTGTATGACATGACCACGTGACTTACCACCGGTGCGTGACGGTGGCACATGCCACTGTGGCCCGGCTGTCAGCAGTCGAGTTAGGCTGGCAGCTTAATGACCGTGACGGACGAATGTCGCCGTGATAACGCCGCCACTTTGAAGCTGTTGCGTAATGTTGCGTGGCGTCCGGCGATGGCTAATGCGCCGGCCTGCGAGCTGTGCTCGGTGTTGACGTGTTATTTCTGTCAGCCGTTAAATGCGGTGCTGCCCATCCATGACAGACGCAACACCGGTGCTTGCAGTCTCAAAGCCATGAAAATCTTGATGAACCACGCAGCTACCTTGATACTGCAGGCTAATCGCCTCTGTTTCTTTCTCCCATGCCCTGCAAGCAAACCAGTCATTTGGAGATTCTCCGAGGCACAAACAGTCTGCTAAATCACACCAATGACCTCGCCGCCGCCACCCTTGCTGGTCGGGAGCATGGCCGCCATGTTTGTCACGCGCGCGCTGACATTGGGACGCCGCGAACAACATGGCTGCTGGCACCGAGCCAAGACAGCTCGTCACGAGGTTGCCGCGCGTCGCACCGCCGCGCGGTGATCTCCGTCGGACAGCGCCGCTGAAGCTGCGGCTGTGGAGTTATACCAGACGGAGCGTGGCCGGCGTCACTCGTCCCCTGAAACGCAGGTCTGCCGGCGCGAACGTCCCGTGCCTGTCGTTACATTTTCCCGGAAATGGGTAATCTCATGGTGGCAGCGCCGAGGAATCTCACGCTGGCCACGCCGACCTCGCCGCACAGTCCAGTGCAAGGCCCCATATACCGCCCGGTGACGACGTGCATGCGCCGCTGGGAACCGGGCCGGCCTCGCTTCCGCCGGCGCGATGACTTCCGACAGCTAGCCTGAGGACGTCCGGTCCGGCCGGGTCCGGCTGGTCCGGTCCGACGGTCCGGTCCGACTGCGCGCCGGTTGTGGTCTGCAGCGGACCGGCTGGCGACGGCCGCGAACGGGTCGTGTGTGCGGGAAGAGCCGGTGGCTGGTCTCAAGCAGTAGTAGACGGACGTGCCCGCAAGTCCCTGGCCGGCATCGGTACAGTAACCTGTGGCTTTAACATTGGGAAAGGCTGTCAAATACCATGATAATCTCAGGACGAATTGGACCAACTGGCTATAACTGAATCTATCACCTTGGTCTAGCCATTTCGAAACGACTTTTCCGACCAAGACCCGGATGCAGCCAAACTTCTAAAATTTGCGGTGAACTATTGGTGCGGTTTTGCGGCCGTTATTGTGCACCCATTACCGTCATCAAGCGTTGCACGTGGCCTGGTCTTAGGGCGTTCCACAGAGCCACTGCTGTGCAGCATGGCCGTAGCCTTCCGGCGCCAGCTCGGCCTCTGGACTCGTGGCGGGCCGCGATGGAGCACGCATGACTGGCGGGGCTGTTCCGCTTCACTGCGGCTGACCTGCTCTGGTTTGGACAGGTCATCAGGGGGAGACGGGACGGCTCGCCTTTTCCTCCCTGCCTCAAGGAAATCCGTAGCTGCCCATAGCTTTTGGGTGAATGCTTCTTCCCGCACTATCCTGTTAAATTATCCTTAAGATTTCCGGCAACTCACCCTGCATCGCTCACCACGACCAGCTGGACCGCGGC